TTTGCCTTAATTGTATAAAGTATCGTGTTACACAAAATATATATTTGAGCCAAACTTATTCTATACACGCGCAGTCACTTTAAGTTTCTATACTTCAAGTTTGTTGTCGCCCACAGCACAAGTTGCTCTGAACTCTTGTTAACTTTAATAAACACATTCAGTAATGGACTTTTCCTGGATTTAGAACTTGTTTTCTATCGAACTTACAGTTGCTTTAAACTTTCTTTCAGCAATATATGTATCGGCAACACAGCTTGAACTCTTTTCTAGCTGGGAGTTTTTAAAGTATTCTGCCAATATTTTACACTGCCAGAAAGAAAGTCGGGCCTTAAGCTAGGCACCTAGTAGGTTTATATACATAATCGTATAAAGAAGCATTGATATCTGCCTGTGAACTTCTAAAGCGAAAACAGTTCGAAATGCTTTGATGCTTTATCATGATTCTAACAATAAAAATTTTTGTTTCTATCGTAAATGTAGCTCCGCGGCGATACGGCCATATGATACGGCAAGATATAAAAGACACTAGATACTGTGCTATAAATAAAATTAAATGTTGGAAACCAAAGTTCATGTACAACGAATAGCTTTAATTTGACCCAAAATCCGTCCGCTCAATAATTCCAGCGAATTCTCATGCAGCGCAAGAGTTCATTTGAACATAATTTTCCATAAATTTCGGCACGTATCAAGAAATATTTCATGGTGGTAAGTTCTAGTTGAAATTGGATTTTAGAGGCGCCAGCACAAAATAAAAATTACTCGCACATACACACAAGCACACACACACAAGCACGCATACACAAGCACACACATACGAGCACACTTAGTTAAGGACCCTGTAAATGTAATCCCATTTATAATCGAAATCTTTCATTAAATTAAGAACATTGCTTATAACCGCGTGCCGCTGCCGTCGACATGGCATACATACATATAATGCTGCACACACACCCACCCACACACACACATAAACACATACACACATTAACATATATAATTACAATTTAATTAGCGGACATGAATTGCAGCGTCGCAACATCCTCGAACTGACCAACTGACCGACCACATTGGTCGGCGCCCAACCCAAGTTCTGCTTACCCTGCCACATAGCTGCCAGTTTGACTGTCCGGCAGCTCTTCCGACGCCTATCTCTTCCACTCTTGCTCTCTTTCAGTCTCTGTGTGCCACGCCCTCCCTGGCTACCCCTCCCGGTTGGCTGTTACTGGCTGCTGCTTGCGAGTGTCGGCGCGGCTGTCGCTTCCTGCCGCCCATAAACTTTTTGCTCATCCGCTCATTACATTTGCACATACAAGACACACACTCACACACATACACACACACACACATACACACATGCATACGCACAGCTGCTGTATACATGCCATGCAGATAATGTGAAAAAAAAAATACAACAAAATTATATACATTATATCGGACTATAAAAAAAAAAAAAAAGTTGATGTTATTCAAGTGAAATATGACACTCTCATATATTCGCAATTATTTGCGCTATTCATTAAGGGCCGCATTCAGCCAGCTCGAATCGCCAGATGCGCTGCACAACACTGTGCGCGTGTCCCCAGCAAATTGCCCAACACCCAGCTCGCCCTCGCCACGGCCATAAAGTATTATAGGAGCAAGACTCCAGAAAGAAAATTCAAAAAAAAAAGAAGAAAAAACAGATGAATATAAATTGAAAAGAAAAACAGCAAATTGAATAAAATGTAATGTAAAGTTTGTGCGATCTGATGCAAATGTGACATTCAGACTTGGGCTAAGGCAACAGGAAATTGCATGAATTGAGACACGAGGTCTCCCAGGGTATGGGGGCTGATAGCTTCAAGTAGCTTCATTTAAATTCCCATAGACATTGATACTTGAACAATCAAATTGACCCGCCCACCACGCGACCCCCTTCCCCCATGCCAGAGCAAATGCATATTATGTGTTTGCGTAATAAGCCGGAAAAAATATTCTCAGTATTGTGAACAAAAGAAACAGAAATTAAAATATACAACAACATCGCAAGCCGCAACATTCTGCGGTTATCGGCAATTTTTCTCTTTGTTTACTTTGTTAATTGTGATTGTTTTATTTTATATACATTTTTTTTGAATATGTTTTATTTGTGCCTTTTTTATTATTTTGTTCATCAAGCGTCGCATATTTGCAATATTTGACATTTTTGTTTCAAATTTGATTAACTTCAAACGTCGAATTTAATATTTCATTTTAATTACTGTGGTATGCAGCATGATTTAATTTACAGAAACACCATCAAATAACTGCCGGGCAGCTGAAACTTTATTGTTATTAACGAAAAAATGCAACAAGGCTCAGCTTTGTAGACAATTTATAATATTTTACAATATCAAAAAGCACTCCATATGACATTTTAATCAAGTGTTTTCTTTGTAAATACTTCAACACTTAATTAACAAAGTCGTTTTTTCCGGCAATAATCATAAAAAAAATAGTTTTTTTATCAAAAATAAGTGTTGTGTAGAGATAAAAAATTGCATTTGATTTTTTTGCAAACTTTACCACACTGAACTTAACTGTGTAAAAGCTTAAGACTTTTCAAGCTAAATTACAAATAAATAAGCTCATTTAAAAATTGGTATTTTAAAACTTGAAATTTTATGTTTTTGCATGTTTCACAACACTGAACTAAACTGCGTGCCAGCTTAAGCTTCTTCAAATTAAAATGAAAATTATAAGCTTTTTTCAACTTGTCTTGAAAATATATATAATAAAAAAAAATTTTATCAAAAACTAGTGTTATATAGGCGTAAAGAAAATTGTATTTGATATTTTTGGCAAGTTTTACCACACTGAACTTAACTCCGTGCAAGCTTACGCTTTTTAAAATAAATAAAAATTAATAAGCTCACTTAGAACGGAAAGCTCATCGAAATGTATTCAATTCGCTGCTCCCGCTTTCCCTCTCCCTTTTTCTCTCTCTCTCTCTTTCCCTCTGACACCTTCAGCCAGTGTTATTGCTGCTTAATTGAATATTGTAAAATGTGTGGGTTAATGCAAATACGATTTCGAATGCACTTCTTGCGTACTCCATTTGGCGTTACCAATTGTGGCATTAAATTTAATGAGCCGATTTTGGCACTTTGCCAGTGGGCGTGAACAAATATTAATATATATTTTCATTTTCCGGCCATTATTTTTATATATCATTCGTTTGGTATTTTTTTCATTTCGTATTGGTTTTGTTTGGCTCGCATTTCAATTTCGGTTTGTCAGCTCTGCTTAATGCTACTTTATTAAAGCATACACACGCTCACTCTCACACAAACGCACACGCTCACACACACACTCGCTTTAAATAAGGCCACAAAAAGACGAGCATGCAGTCAGATAGATAGCTGGTTAGGGTCGTCTGAGGGGCGGGTAGGTGGTTGGGGTACGTGGCGAACAAAAATACGCTTTAACAGCAATTTTGATAACTGTATGTGCATGCGCTCGTGTATGCGTGTATGCGTGTGTGTGTGTGTGTGTGTGGGAGAGCGTGAGTGCGTATCTGTGTGAATGTGCGTTTGACACAGTGTCAAAAAGTACCGTAATATTTGTCATAAAACTTTATGATGCACAAAATTAGTTTTACAGCACTGGAAAATAAAAACGACCCTCCCCACTCGAACGGTGTTCTGTCAAAGGGGCGCGTGTGCGCCTCGTGAATGGGCGCCAATCGATTTGGCGGCAAACACTTCTGGTCTGGCATTGAATGCGGCTTTAGCCTTGTTGGGATCAGAGAAGCTCATACAAACCACACCCCCTTAGCCCCTCTCCACACGATGATTCACCGCGAGCTGCGTACTTATTTATTTATGCAATGCTCGTGCCAATGCAAGCAACTTATTTATTTAGAAATTTTCTGCCATTTAAGCGCGTAATTGTTTTAGCATGGATGGCCAATTGAGAATTTTCATTTACATTTAACACGCGCACACACACACACACACAATCGCACACACACACACAATCGCACAGCAAGAGTGTACAATAATAATAATAATACAGCAGACAATGCGCAACGATTGATGGTCAACTGTCATTTAAATTATGAAAAATAAACAATTTTTATTTATGCAAATAAATTGGTATTATTGATAAGTATTTTTCTTCCGCTTTTTTTTTATAAATCCATTTATTCGCACACCCTGTGCACAATTAAATGTGTCAAAAGAGGGCTTGGCCAGAAGATAGCTGCCGGCAGACTTGACCCTCTATAGGGAGATCAATTAGAAGTTTTTGCCATACATATATTCGATTTAGTTGCTTGTCTAAATAGCTGCTCGGCAGTCTTTTAAATTTTAGTTTGTGAATAATTATAATTGAAAATATATTTTATGTTGCTTTGCTGTATTTTATGATTTTTATTACTTTCGTTTTTTAATCTGTTTTATTTATGACACATTTTCATCCCCAACAAACGCAAGGGAAACATATCTCATAGGAGTTGTCATAAATGTCCTTGGAAATGGGTTTAAGCTGGTAACCTCGCCCACCTAAGCTTTGACCAACATTTTCCACCTTGGAGTGGGAATTTTGCGAAAGGAGTGAAACCCATCTCAAACGAATTTACAGATTGATCTATGAGAAATGAGTTGGATGTCATTTTCATATGACCATGAATTTATTGCAGTAAATTTTTTCACACTTGCGGGTGAAATTAACAAAAGCCCTGCATTAGATATAGACAAATGTCGTCTACCCAGCACTTATGGTTTGATCAATCAGCCAATCAGTCAATTGAAATTAAAATTTTTTTGAAGACAAAGATTTGCTAACAGGCTAAAATGAATCTTTTGAAATATATTCAAAAAGTAAGCATTATAATTTGAGGGCAGGGACAGACAAGCACTCTTGTGCAATTGCCAACGTAAATCAAACAATAGCCATACATCATGATGTATGCATGTACATTTAAATAAAATCCTACAGTTTACAAGTGCTTTGATGTAGCAAAAGAATGTACTTACCGTAAATATAGCTGGTTACGTTGTTACGCACTTCAAGTGTAGCCTGTAGTTTATAGGGTATCTGCTGGTCAAGCATTGTCGACTAGAGCTTCCGCATAAGCTTTAGCTATGCATTTTTCTGCCGCAGCCCTCGCTATTTGGTAGTTTTGATTTGTGTGCGAGCCGCGCTCTGCTGTTTAAGGCTTCATTTTGTTTGGATTTCACGGCCTGAAAACTATGAAAAATGATTTCAATGGATTTAATTTGCAATCGGTTTAAATTCGCCTTTTTCACTTTGTGTACTTAAGCATGTTAAGTGAATATGAAATATATACACGCGATTTATACTATAAAAAATAAATGTATGTGTATATATATAAACATAGATTTTTGAATAAGTTTTGCACGCGTGCATTAATTTTATGGCCTGGCTCTTTAAAATGTAGCGCATCCGCCGCGTTGTCCCAGCCAAGCGCAGAGACCCCTAAATGAAATCACAATATTTGTGAAGCATCTTAGTATGCTGTTCTACTTGCCTCTCAGTTTGCCTAACCATAATGATGCGGCAGCTGGCAACGTTTGTATTACATTGGTGCGGGCTCCATGCAGCAGATACAACGTGGCGTATGCGTTTTGCGAATACTGACATTAGAGCAGCAGCAAAAGCAACAGCAGCAGCAGTTGCACGCATTGTTTGCTCGGAAAATTTTTGCACGCTGGGCAAATACTACACAATACACACGCTATTCAGTTCAACTAACCAAAAGGTCGAGCTAAGCTGCAGAGTAATCATTAGCACACGTATGGTATCACTTTATGGGTTCGTAAGTCTTTTAACCAATTAGATACGCATACGCATGCAGACACATGCACATGTGCATGGCATCTATCTTGACATGCCCAAAGTACAAGATAAATATCGAAATGCCTTTAAGCAAATGCAAAGATTGAATCTTTATTGCAAAAAAGCATGGAAATCACAGGCTTTAAATATGATAACCGACTGGAAGATACCCTGAACACAGGCCATGAGTTCTATAGGAGTTTTCGATTCTAATAAAATGTTCGATTGTAAAATAAATTACAAGGCCTTTGCTTAGAAAACAAGATTTTTGCCATTTTGGCACGAACAGGGAAAAGTATCAAACAGTTTATTATTTTCAAATGTATATATGCTATACAAGAAGACACATACCAAATTTGGAGTCGTAAGCTTTTATAAACTTCGACTTGTGCCTTCTATAAATATACAAATTTATCGATATTATGGAGATGTGGAGTGTTCCCGATATAAACTGATATCGAAAATATGATATACGTGGATGCAGATGGGCATGATTACATCGACTCAGCTGATCGTCCTGATCGAGAATATATATACTATATGGTACTAAAGATGCTTGCCTTCGCCTGTTACATGCATTTGCCCAAAACTCTTATACCATTTTTACCCTTTTAAGCATAAAACTGCATTTGCTATACTGTCAAACTGTCATGGATAAAATATTAAAAGTGTTTCTTGCTAAATATAATTAAACCAATTTCTTTTTTTTTTTGACATATATTTTCTTTTTGAAATTATTTGATTTATTAGTAAGATAAATTGTTGAATTTAAGAACGGAAAAATTGCATTTTGGAATCTTAAATTCTTGCCAACTGCACTGCCTGAACTGTCAACATTTGTGTGGCAAACCATTTTCGTTAGAGCTATTCCCCTAAAAGAAAACTAAGAAATAAGCGCTTTGAAATTTTTGTAATAAAAACAACTTATTTTGTTTCATTTTGCCTTACATAAAGGCATACCAGTGAACATATTCAAGTGAATCTGCCAAATGGCATTATTTTTATAAAATGCTTGGCAAGCATATATGTGTGTACATGTGTATATGTGTATATGTGTGGTAGTCCGTCATATAGAATTCAAGCAAAAACTCAATCAAGCGACTAAAATTGCCGCTCAGGCGTGTGATTTGGCCTGGTTTGCGCGCAGTGAAGAAAATTGTTTAAGTAGACGCTCCATCACCTGCGCTCGCCAGGTGGCAGATACTGTCGAGTTTGTGGCATACCTACGCATATTTAACCGTTGGTTTGCCCAGCCCACTTTTGACGCCCATTTCACATGCCGCATGACGACAAATCATTGCTCGAAACGACAAAAAGGCTGCGACTGGGATTGGGCTTGGGTTTGGGTTTTGGGGGCTTGAGTTGGGGATTAGGACTGGGTTTGAGTTTGAGTTTTGGGCATTGGTATTGAAAGTAAGGCATTTGGGCTGGCTCTGGCTCTGCCGCTGGCTTACACGTGGCCCGAAGGCCCATTGAGATTGAAGTCGCCTTCGACAGCTACAGTTACTCGCATATTTGACAAAGACATCAGGCAAGCGGAATGACGAATGCGATTTGTGAAAGCGAATGTGGTGAATGGAACTAAGCAGTTATTCCATTCCATAGTCTCTCAATATACAAATTTATGCAAGCTGTTGGCGCTGCGCTGCCCCTGCTTCTGCCCCAGCAGGCCAATTTTCCCGCACCGCTCACTCCCACAATCTACCCGCTACTCTGACACCTCCCGCCATACCACAACACAACGTCTCTTCACTCACGCTGTGATGTGCTACTCAAACATATGCGGGTTTCACAGAGCTCTCAGTTGGTTTTTCTTCTTTCCTGTTTCATTTCTTGTCTGCTTTATACCCTATCAGCGGGCAGTCCAATTCCTTAATCACGAAATGCGTTAGGACTTGATGAACATATATGGGATTATTCTTTACTCCTTTCGTTTGCTTGGAACATATCCGTTTGTCTATCTATCTATCTGTTTCTATGGTATCCAAGACTTAAATCCAATATTTTGATGTAACATTAGTCCAAACTTTAAACTGAATCTAAGACCGAATCTCTGGGCCTGAACCGATCCATTTAAAATAAGTAAAATAAGTTTATTTTGTAGTTTTTGAAATAAAGCTAAGGTCAGTTTTAGGAGTATGAAAAATAAACTCATTTCGCTAAAGAAATATATGCAGATATTTTAATCAAAACTTTAAAAAATATGCGAACCTAGGTTCAAAATTAAACCTCTAATCAAATATGTGAAAAGCTGTACAAAACGAACCTTGAGCACAAAATGTATTTTTGGGTTTGCAGTCTTGAGTTTTTCAACTCATTTCTCTTTCAAAGTTTTCGATGGAATCGCATATATGTATTATATATTATTATATTATATTTTAAAAAACTATTGAATTTATTGCACATTGGCAACTGTCGGCAAGTGTGTTAAATCTTCGGTTATCCTAAGATAACTCTTTGTTTGGTTTTCTGCTTTGTGCTGTTGTGTTTAAGCAACAAAGGCGCGTATAAGTAATATAATGTGCATGCAATACACACACACCAACACACACACACACACACATTGAAACTAGAGCCATTCATTGTTGGCCATAATGTACACATAACTGATATATACACATATACATATATACACATACACTTTTGTGCAAATAGTGTAGATATATATTTATATATATGTATATGTATGTATATGTATCTGGGAATTGTGTTGTTGTGCTCAAATGTAGTTACATAATTTGCTGCTCGACTGCTGCTGTTGCTGTTCCTGACACACAAATTAGAGCCATGGCCATAACATTCATGTGCCTGCTCCTCGAAATATGCAATAAAATAAAAACTACACTTAAATGCCAGCTGGCCAAAACGAGTGTCATTGAAAAGTGCGTAGGTTGGGGGTAGGTGGTTGGGCGGGGCGGGGCGGGGCGGAGCAGCTCGTGGCTGAGCCGGGTCGAAGACATGAATAATCAGCGCGTTTCCAACAAAAAATAAAATAAATAAATAAAACAACAAATATATATATATATATATACATATATATATGCAAACCAATCAACAAGCAAATCCAATACAACCCAAGGGACTGGCGTATCAGCTCCCGAACTTGGACCCCAAAAAAAAAAAAAACAGAACTTGGGGCTGTACATGGCGCGCGCCCAGGCTCTCAACACGAGGACACACTAACTAACAGCTAGCCCACACCGCTCCCGCTGCCACGCCCAATCGTCCACATAAAGAATTCAAATCGTATTGCCACTTAAACTCAAAATGGCTGGCTACACATGTCGCTTTGTTTGAATGTGTTTGCGTATGCGTGCGTGTGTGTGGGTGTGGGTCTATTGGATTCCCGGTCCTGCTGAGCGCGCGCTGTGCTTTCAATTATGGCTGCCATCAAGCCCGAAACTGAAATGTTTGAATACATTGCCATTTAGTCCACGACAGGGGCAGCTGCAAAGGAATGATGAGGGGCTTGGGGCCCTTTAGGAGCGGGGGCGTGCCAACGCATATATCACAAGTGCGACACAAAGCGTAAATCAAATGATATGCGAGTGCAAGTATGACAAGTATGTATTATGTTAGTAACTACGAGTATGTATTATCAGCATCGCCATATTGTGTCCCACAAACCCACCCCCATCCCTCTACCGCTCCAGTCGTGGTAGGGCAACCGAAGTGCGTGCTGTGGTCCTGTGGCTGGTACCAGGTTTTGGTCCTGTTCTAGTCTGATTTCTACTGATCCTGTTGCCAGTTTCAGCTCCAAGTTCCCAGTCCCCAATCCCCATTCAGTTTCTGTTGCTAGTCCCATGACTGAGCAACAACAACAAGCAGCCAGAACAAGTCAGAAGTAACGGCAAACGAGTGACATGTTTATCGCCATATTTTCCGAGCCATGACTAAAGAGCAAAACGCATAAATACTGTGAAAAGCAGGCGACAAAAGTTCAAGGGGAATGATGAACGGTTACGGCATCTGGAATGGGGTATATGCGTATATATATTTGTGCGTGTATGGGTAGGGGCTTTCCTCACGATGGGCGAGACCAGAAGTCTGCTAACCACAATTGAATAATATGATCCCATCTACTAATGCCAAAAGATTAAACTGCAATTTATTGCCCACATGATTGATTGGTTTAAAAAATGGACTGCCCTTAATAAATTATAAAATAATACTTATATTTAAACTATTGATGCATTCCTATAAATAACTCTCCTATGTTATCGATATATATCGGTCAATTATACCAAAATTAGAAAGATTCAACTGCTCTTCGTCGCCTTTATGATTAACTGATTTATATACTATATCTCTTTCCATTTGAGTACATTTATTGCCGCTTTTATTTATCGATATAAGAACACAATTAACAAATCGCTTATCTAAGCAGTAGG